CCTTAACTGCTCTGCCACAATACCTATTCCATTTTTAAAAAATCAGACTCGCTAATTTTAGTCTACCCTCTTTAGAGAAGGCATTAAGTTTCACCTTCCTAAAGGGAGCAGAGCTTACATTCAAATTTAGAACTCTTCTATGACAGATTTATTTCTTCTCCATTTATTTGTTTAGTATGCATTTCTATCAGCATGGGCTCATGAATATGTGACATATACTTTTTCCCTTTATTCACGTAACATTGTGTTACAACATTTTCTCCCATGGGGTCATTGCTGTGGCACAGTAAGTTAAGCCTCTACATGCAGTGGTGTCACCCCATTGGATGCCAATTCCAATCCAGTTCCCTGCTAATGCTCCTGGAAAAATCAGCAGAAGATGGCCCAAATACTTGAGAACTTGCCACCCACATGGGAGACCTGGATGAAATCCTGTCTCTTGACTTTCGCCTGGCCCAGGCCTAGTCATTGCAGCCATTTGGGGAGCATACCAGCAATGGAAGCTCTCTCTGTAACTCTTTCAAATAAATACCTAAATCTTTTAAAACTCAAGGGTTTTCTCCCATCTAAAAATCCTGATTTTAATCATAGCTTTTAAAAAAAGGTTTATCGGGCCCGGAGCGGTGGCACAGTGGTTAAGGTCCTCGCCTTGCATGCCCGGGATCTCATATGGGCGCCGGTTCTAATCCTGGCAGCTCCACTTCTCTTCCAGCTCCCTGCCTGTGGCCCGGGAAAGCAGTCGAGGACGGCCCAAAGCTTTGGGAACCTGCATCCGTGTGGGAGACCTGGAAGAGGCTCCTGGCTTCGGACCGGCATAGCATCGGCCGTTGCGCTCACTTGGGGAGTGAATCATCGGATGGAAGATCTTCCTCTCTGTCTCTCCTCTCTGTATATCTGCCTTTCCAATACAAAAAAAAAATAATAATAATAAAAATAAATCTTTTAAAAAAAATTAAAAAGGTTTATTTATTTTTATTGGAAAGGCAGATATACAGACAGGAGGAAAAGACAGACAGAAAGATCTTCCATACTCTGGTTCACTTCCCAAGTGGCCACCATGGCCAGAGCTGAGCTAATCTGAAGCCAGGATCCAGGAGCCGCCTCTTAAGGCTCCCATGAAGGTGCAGGGTCCCAAGGCTTTGGGCCATCCTCAACTGCCTTCCCAGGCCACAAGCAGGGAGCTGGATGGGAAGCAGGGCTGCCGGGATTAGAACTGGCACCCATATGCGATCCCAGCACGTGCAAGGCAAGTAGTTTAGCCAGCAAATACCATGCCAGGCCCAATAATAATCATTTTAATGATGGTACCTATTTGGGATACATTCCATGTATGAGCTTTTACTCATAAACTGTGTTGCAGTGATCAGCTGTTGTAACAATGTTTTGTCATGGTGTCCAGGACTCAGAACTATCCTTAGACACTTGGGATGGATGGGTGGGTAGGTGGGTGAGGGCAGGGCTGGCACTGAACCCAGTGGTGCTGCTTCTTATTGAGCAGTCTTCACTCTTGGCCTAAGAAGTTTTAAAATCTAAGTTAAACATTGGGCAAGAAAAGCTTAGAAATCTGTTGGAAACAAGCTTTGTTTCCCATAAGACACAGCCTATTTGAAATAATACACGAGTTTAGAACATAGCCCAGGTTTTACACTGTAAGCTATCTGTGACTAGAAACCACTGGCACACTGCATCTACTTCAGCAGGCTTTCACACGGTGTCGTCATTCTCTCAGCCCAAGTTGTACAAAGATCATTGTTTTCAGGGACTATCAATGTCTTATCTCCTGTTTTACACTCCAGAAGGGGAAAATGCCGGCAATTTCCTAATAAACAGGGGAAAGGACATTTGGAATGGAACAAGGCAGGACACAGCACAACAGAGGCAGCTGTGGACAAAGCAGCTAAGAGGAGACGGGATATGAGGGCTCGGTTATCGCTGCAGGGTTAGGGAAGTCATCGCTGCCAAGGGTTGGAGGCAAGCAAGAAAAAGGGCTAAGAGGGCAAGTAGTTGCGGGAGGTGAGAACAATCCTGTTCCTTGTCCCATTTTAAAATTTTATTTTAGAGAGATTCATTTTATTTTTATTGGAATGCCAGATATACAGAGAGAAAGTCCCCAAATGGTCACAGCAACTGAATTAATGCCCATATGGTGAGGCGGTTAGCCACTAGGCTACAGCACTGGGCCCCTCAGTATGTAGTTCTGATCATCCCTTTTCCCACTGAAAGGCAGAGAGGGGAAAACATGATCAAGAAGAGAATACCCTTGGGCCCGGCGGCGTGGCCTAGCGGCTAAAGTCCTCGCCTTGAATGCGCCACAGGATCCCATATGGGCACCGGGTTCTAATCCCGGCAGCTCCACTTCCCATCCAGCTCCCTGCTTCTGGCCTGGGAAAGCAGTCGAGGACGGCCCAAGGCCTTTGGACCCTGCACCCGCGTGGGAGACCCGGAAGAGGCTCCTGGCTTCGGATCGGCATAGCATCGGCCATTGCGCTCACTTGGGGAGTGAATCATTGGACGGAAGATCTTCTTCTCTGTCCTCCTCTCTGTATATCTGACTTTCCAATAAATAAATAAATCTTTAAAAAAAAAAGAACAGAATAGCCTTCAAACAGTTCTTCCCTGCTCCTGCGGGCAAAGGCTTGTCCATTCGTTCAGAGAGGTGACCAGTAGTTAAACCTTCCGTGGACTGAGGGGCTGGGCACCAGAGCTTGTCCGCTGTAGTTCCTTGCAGACACTGCATAGGGGGTTATGCTGGGGAAGAACAGGAGCGTGTTAAAGGACAGAGGATGCAGTCAGACCTAAGGGGTCCCATGGCTGCCTGCCTCAGTACTCTCAAACCTGAGTTCGTGTTGTATTTAAGAACTTCTGTGCTCAAGCCAGCGGTGAGCTGGCAGAGGGAAGTTATGGGCAAGGTCCATGTGGCTAAGCAGGAAACCCAGCAGATCCACTGGACTCCAGTCACACTGATTACATGCAGAAGGCATGTGTGAGTCCCCTCTGCAGGGCTTTTTTATATCCAAGACCTCAGAAGGCTCCTTCCAGCTGTCACTTGGAAGGGCTCGTGCTGGGCTTTGAGGGTCTTACTGGGTTTCAGCTGAGGGAAGGCAGCTGTGTCTAGGGAGATCAAAAAGGATGAATGATGGTCAGTCAGGGTCAGCAGGAAGAGCCTTGCAGCATGGTCATTTCGCCCCTCTTCTGACTGCTCACATTCAAATGCCCACCATGTAGTTTCTTCTTCCACTGCTGTGTTGGTTATTCTATTAGGAGCATTCTGGATGGACTATGAGGGGCTCACAGAGGAAGAAGGGAAGGATGGCATGCTGGCAGGAAATGCTCAGATGTGGCTGAATCAGTTCTTACATGGGGAGAGGACAGGCAGTCTTAGCAATTTAGGAAAACAGCCAAAGCCATGGCGAGGAAGCTACCGTGAGCCTTCCCGAAGGCCTTCCCCGTGCTGAGGAAGCGACAGGCTTCACAGTGTTCCTTGCTTAAACCTGTCAGAATCAGAGCTGAACATTCAGACTTTATTCTTAGAGTCTTTGGGTAGTGAGAGGACAGTGACAACATCCTAATCCAACCCGAAATAATTTCCCTCCTCAACCACTGCAGTCACCTCCTTACAACAGCCACTCCTCCTACCCTTTATCCTCCACAAAGGACACTGATGTTTAACCAGATTGATTGCTCCCCAGACAAAACTCTTCTTGAGTGGTTCTCCAGTTGTCTCAGCTTGAACCACTGTGAACAAATGACCATCACCTGGGGAGCTCCGTCAACTCCGTAAACCTAAGTCTGAAATCCAGGTGCCAGCAGGGCTGTGTTCATGGGAGGGCTTTCTGCCCGGCTTGTGGTGAGGGCTCTTCTAGCCGTGTCCGTTCAACGGTGAGGAGAGCTACCAATTCTATTCACAAGGGTTTCTACTCTCCAGGCCAAATGATACTGGACAGCTTTGCCTACAAACACCATCACATTGGGATTAGGCTTTTAGCATGAATTTGGTGGATCGCCCATGTTCTGAGAACAAAATCTAAATCTTAGTTGAAACACTTCATGTCTCAGGATCATCACCTGTGTTAATCCCTCTCTGGAGCCCCCTTTTTCCCCTGCCCTCTTCTGAGTCTCATTCTTCAGGACTTTGATAGCAGGATGACTTTCTCAGGACCCTTACTTGTCTCTAGTGTAAACTAGGTCCCCTTGTTATTTTAACGGCATTTGCTCTCCTCCTCCTACATAAGCTCTTATTACAGCTTGTAACCACATATTCTTTTTGGTAACTTTGTGAGATATCTGTCTCCCCCACAAGGCTCTGAGTCCCTAAAGGGAAATAAAGGCTGTTTCCATTTTGCTTCCTGCTGCAGCTCTTGAGCCAAGTACTGAAACTGGCAAATAGCAGGTATCCAACTACATAAGGAGTGAGTGAACAGGAAGAAACTGGCATGGCTGGAGAGTTGAAGTGTGAGATAAGAACCTGAATTTGCATGGCAGAGGTGGAAAAGGAATGAAACTGACTTAATGCTTGACTGGCCAGATATGCCACCTGATTAGGGTGGAAGTGGAAGACAAACTTCTCAAACCTGGAGGACCAGTATTAGGGTTGGGGAAATTACATTCATGGTGGCTTCTGACAGATGATTTGATGATGACAAAGGGACCCTGGAGGGGGTAAGTTTAGAGAGCTGCAATGCACAGAGATGGAGCTCTGGTGGCTCAGGAGCAAGAAAGCCAGAACCAGATACTCACAGAAGTGCAGAGTGAAGTGTCCCACACAATCTGGATGTTTGGAGACAGGGTCACCTTGTTTTAAGTGACAGTTACACCGTGGGGATAAGAAGGGATGCACAATGTGCTGTGGAGGGGACTACGTGCCACAAAGCCTGTGGCGGAGCCCTCAATCCACCTGCTCTGACTTGTCAGGCTATGTTTTTGCACAGAACCCGTGCCCACTGCTTCGTGGTGGACACTCAGTGGCATTTCCCGATAGTCAAGGTGGGCAAACCCAAGGGTAGGTTTCCATTTGCTTAGTTTATTAAAGACAACAATGAACTGCTGGGATGTATGGGAGCCACAAGTGGGGATTCAGTTCAGAACATGAGCCGTGCGCACGTGCGCGCGCACACACACACACGTAACACATCTTTTGTTTGGACTCCTTGCTCCCTTTCCAGTGATCAAATCACAACTCTTAAGTCTTGGCAGAGAAAAGTCACCAACAGCCTCATTTAAGTGGAAAACATTTGCCTTCCACTCTTCCGCTATGTCTTGAATCTTATCTCCACCTCATGAGCAAGCTGATTCTCCCCGAACAAGCCCATAATTTACAGAAAAGAACACTTTTTCTCTTTTATGTCATAAAGATCTCTCTTCAGTGCATTTAGAAACTTCTATTCAGGACAGCAGCAGATTTTCATATACTGGTAAGTTGCAAAGTGCTTTTGAAACATTTCATGCTCTTTCTCCTTTCCTGCTATACAGAAAGAAAGAAAGAAATGGGTATTTGGGATGGTAAAAAAAAAAGACAGCTTAGGGTCAGGGTTGCTAGGACAGTATGCTGTGAAAGGGTTGGAAGAGGTGGAGACAAAGACGTGGGAACTCAGAAGCATCTGAGATGGCTGAGTCTAGCTTTAGAAAGCAGGGCTTGCCCCTCCACACTTTGTTCCTAGGCCAGTACAGAGACAGGTGGCGCACTGAGGGAATACGCACTGACTCGGAGTGAGGAGCGGGATTTGTAACACGCAGACCAGAAGTGGCGCTCATGATTTTCACAAACCTGAGTCTGAACGTGGGGGCTCAAGTCCTGTGAGGTCATTCCCAGAGCCCTTGGGAAGCCAAGGCAGCTTCCGGTCAGCCCTTCCAAACTGGGGTGGGTCTTGACTTCCACAACTTGACCATGACCTGAACAGGGAAGAGCCTCCAGAGTCTTTCAATCCAACACAACCTTCAGATCCCAGGTTTGAGGCAGAGCAGTCAACACTGTGAGTCAATTCTTACAGGTTCCCTCTTGCTATGGTCTTTATCTTAACGCTCCTCTATTTCCTTGTAAGAAGTTATATCTGGTTGAAACACTCAGCAGTTTCCACCAGCACATGCAAATTTTCTCTTCAGCTTCTAGGAATGGCACCAAAGCTACCGTTTTTTCTTTTTTGGGGCAATTAACAATCAACTACCAGAAGACAGGTACACAGGAATCAGTCAGTCTCAGGGCACACTGCTGTCAGCCTTGAAGAAGCAACCCTGACCAGTGTTTTACACAAAGGTTAGAAACTGTAACAACTTAAAAACACAACAAACAGGTACATGGTCCCAACCGAGACCTTTCCCCATTAAAAACACATTAACAGGAGAGGGGAAATTATTAAAAATTTGTCTGAACAAAAGGGTGATTGCACACAAGAATGGCTAGGCTAGTTGAAGAGTTAAGTGCATAACTGGCATAAAGGCTCTTAGCTTCTCAAGAACGCAGGAACATTCACTCCACATTCATGAACTGTCAAGTCCTATACAGCACTACAAATAGCAGAAAGGAACTAGGGCAACAGATCAGCCGCCAAGGGGGTCCTAGCTCTGCTGCCAGAAGGAGACAATGGATAGAGCTGGATCACACTTGGACTCAGAGCCGCAAGGACCAGCTCACAGAGGACGGAGGAGGAAGGGATCCAGTAACAAGGAGGGGTGTGGGTGTTCTGCCCTCACCCCAGGACGGCGACAGGGGCTTGTCTGGAAGGCTGCTTCTATACCAGACAGCTAGGTTAGTGAAGAAGGGGCCAACAGCTCCTTAGAATGAATAAAGGTCCTTTCAAGCACAGCTATAGCTTCCCTTAAGCCCATGGTGGGAAGCCACACCTGGGTGGGGCCTGGTCCGTTTTGCTTGAAGCCTGCTGGGGCAGATAACAGAAGTTAACTTGTGCCATCTGTCTCAGCTCAGGACATCATAGTTGCCTCCTTGGGGTCTCTGAGGATTTTGGGGTAGTAACAATTCTGTTTTTATGGCCCCCACCAAAACCTAAGGAGGCCTACAATGTCCATTCTCTGCTGCTTCTCCTTGGGGAGATCTGACCCTATAGGACTGGGGAAGAGAAAACTCCAATCCCACCTTGCTAGCAGCAAAGGAGAAGATAACTGGTTGAGAAAGGCCTGGCTCAGAACTCAACAACTAACACAAAGTTCACCCGGAAATGATCTGAGATGCAGCTGAAACCAGATCTGGTCCTCGGTGGAAGGCCACAGCAATCAGAAGTGAGTCCTGCTGTCTCTCCACTGAGAGAAGCACTGGAATCTTTGCTGGAGGACCCACATGTCAGTGCTGATGGAAATATCTGATGCCTGTAAACTGTCTGCCACAACAGACTGCACTGCAGCAACCTGAAACCTGACAAAGGTTGAATACACATGGACATCAGGAGAGTTGTACAAAAAAAAAAGGATAATGATATATATATATATAGAGAGAGAGAGAGGTCCCAAGTTGGGAAAGTCCTTCAAAGGCTGGCTCAGCTCTGCACGGTGTGTGACCCTAGCCCCAGAGAAAGGGCTTGCAGTGACTTCCTCACGTGGTCTCCAAGACGGTGGCTTCCAGGGCCAAGGCTTCAGTGGGCTCCTCCTCATAGTCTGACAGGTAGGATTCTAGGCTCTGCTTGGCCAGCAACTCCCTCCGGGCCTGCAGCCGCTCACACCTTGGACAGCTGCCAGACTTGAAACACGCTTTATGGTAACATGCTTTGCATTCTGTTGGGGTCAGAGAAAGAAGAAAACAACTTGCACAACCTCCATCTGGGAGCCGAGTAGCAGCCACAACCCTCTCTCCCCAGCTGCGGCTCAGTGCCCTGGTGGTAAAGACACAGGCTGTTGATGACTCAAACTCCTGCTAATGGAGCAGAAGAAAGAAAACAGCCCCATGTTCAGACCCACCTGCCCCTTCCCTGGCTCCAGCCCTCACCTTCACAGGTCCGGCACTTGTGGAGCTCAAAAGGAAAGATGATGTCGTCTTCATTCTGACAGAACTCGCAGATGAAGCCCTTGGCCTGGCAGAGCTGGGGAAGAGAGAAACATGTGCCAAGATGAGGGACAGTGAGTACCAGAACAGCTGGCCCAGGAGGGCTGAGCCCTGCAGGGGAGAGGCAAAACAGTAACACAAATTGAATGGGGCCCAGGGGTTCTACAGCCTATGAGAAAGAGACCTAAGCCAAACCAGGCCAGGACCACACAGGGTCAGACAAAGCTTTGAGGGGGAGACAGAGACACAAACTCAAAAGCCTCAACCACTGAAGGGGCTCTGGATAAAAACAGGTCAAGGCGGAGGGCTGGATCACATCAGCCCTCCTCAAGGCCATCAGCCATTCTGGAGACTGACTTTTCACATTTGTGGTAGGAAAAATTCATAAGAGCAAATGTGAAAATGAGGCTATTTCCCCAAAATTAGACCTCATCTTGAGTCAAGGTATAGTTGAGTATTTTTAGTTTCCTAAGCCACACAGGGTTCCCCACTTCTTCCCCATCATAAACTCTTCTTCTAGTAAGAAGACACTGTATATAAATATTGACATTAATTAAGAGACAAGAAAATTGAGGCTTACATAGAAAGGGCAAATTATTTCTTTTGCTCACAGTGACTGGAAATGATAAAGCCAAGTCTCAGATGGCAGCTCCTCTCCAAGCAGTAATCCAGGACCTCCCTCCACAGCACGATCATTCTTTCCTGACATCCCACTCAGTCCTGCCAAGAGGCGACCCAGGGACAATGCCAGTGCCAATTCCCCTTCTAATTCTAGGTTCTTCAAGTCTGAAGGATTTGGCTGCTCACCAACCTAGGGAACGGCAACCCTTTCCAATTTGTGCCTCCTAGTGCTGAATCGTCATCCAGCTTCTTGGAGCCAAGTGGCAAGAATCCTGGGTCTGTCCCACTCCCTGTGTTCCTAAGCAAGGGTTCAGCCCCACACGAGGTCTTCTCACCATGCATCGCCCTACGTGGGCGGCCCCTGCCCTGGTGAGCTCAACAAGCCGGGGTCCCAGCTCCCCCTTCTTGGTTGCAGTTAGGTCGTTGAGCGAGTACAGGTGTAGATCTTCTGTCAGGTGGCCTGGGACTGTGTCAAAAGAATCCAGAAGTCTGCAGGAAAGGAGGGGAAGAATGAGAGAGGGAATGAACACTTTATGTGGCACATTGTGGTGGATGGATCTTTGCAGAAGCACAAGATATAAAGTCATGGGGTCGTGGAGTGGAGCCACATTCACTAGCCACCCCAGCCTTCCCATACTATATGGTGTCTGGGAGGCAGAAGTAACTTATTTACAGCCTCATGCACAGGTATCCATGCCAGCTGGCAGTGCTGGCCTGCCCTGAACAGAAGCCACCAGATTCCCCTTCTGGTCAGAAGGACACAGACAGTCACTGCTATGACTTCTCATTCCCTCAATCTTCCCTCTCAACCACCATCACTCCCCTTATTCACACAAGAGCCTACTGTTGGGATACATCCCTTTCAGAGACATGAAGTCAGCTAGAGGACTCTGGCCCCCAACGAGACTTACTCTTTGGCCAGGCGGCAGGTCTTGAACATGTTCTTCATGTGACAGAGTTGGATCCGCAACAGCTGAAGGGAAAGATGTTGGGGCCAGGGGAGTTGGAGAAGAGGAGAGAATCAACTGTTAGAGAGCTGAGCATATTAGGGCCAGCATCGTGGCACAGCAGGTAAAGCAGCAGCATGCAATACCAACATTCCATATGGGTGGCTCCTCTTGTCTTGCCCACTTTCAATTTAGTTCCCTGCTAATGGACTGAGAAAAAGCAGCAGAAGATGCCCCAAGTGTTTGGGGGGCCTCTTGCCACCCATTGCGGGAGACGCTCCTGGCTCCTGGCTTTGGCAAAGTCTGACTCAGGTGGTTGCAGCCGTCTGGGGAGTGACTAGTGGACAGATGATATCTGCCTCTCTCTGAAACTCTGACTTTCAAATAAATAAACAAAATCTTCGTTGACAGGGAAGAAGGGAGCAAAAGAAGGAAAGAACTTTTAACCCTAGGGGGCCTGGAAGATTTCCATATAGCTGCCAGAGGCAAACTGCCTTTTACATCTCAAATTCAACAAGTCACCTCAACGAGCTCTCTGGTCAGGGAAGGCCCTGTGCCAGCTGACTCTGCCCAAACCACAAACAGCTGGAAAGAACTGAGAAGGCCTGAAATCAAGCTTTCCAAGTGAAAGCCCACTCTTTGCTTAGTAATATTTTCAGTTAAGGGGAAAATTCTTTTGCTACCAAGTGTTATCCAACTTCAGGGCCACCACTCCTGGGTTTGAGGCTCTGAGTAGCCTGATACTAGGGGAATGAGAAGAGATTAAGAAAGTGCATAGAGTGTGGATGAGGAGCTGATTACAGCTCTGATGCTGTGACCCCTGACAACATAGCAGATTGTTGGAAATTCCATGTGAACGGGGATAGGGGATGAGGGGAAGGGAAAAGGGAGACTCCAACACTCCGTGGCCCTTTCAAGGTTCTTACTCGGACTTGATTGAGCTGCTTGATCTTTCTATAGAGGGCACTGTTGATGTCCTGCACATTGAAAAGAGGATCGTTCCAGATCTTAAGGAGCAGGTCCTTGGAGAAATTGCTGATGTAGTACTTGCTGAAGTCCCACTTGCGCAGAATCCGGCTGGGGATGACCATCTGGGCATTCTCATGGCAGCACTGACAGAAGTACTTGCCCAAGTACTCACAGTACCGCAGCCGCTTGATATAATCTACAAAGACAACAGAAAGCCAAGGGGCTGGATGTGACCTTTCCCCTACAGGCTGAGGCAGCACTGCCATTCCCTGGAAGGGCAGGAATGGGCGGGTGGGTGGTGGTCACCTGTCACCTTTGAGTTTCCTAAAGCTGAGAGAAGCCCACAACATTGGGGCCCACAACGTTTACATCCTATCCTGGAGACCACGAAGGAACCAGAATCAGAGACTCACGTCCAAAAACCTAGCTGAGAACATTCAGTCTCCTCCCACGCACAGTCCTGGTAATGTGCTCCCAGGAATAACTTCCCTGATTGCCAGTGCTTTCGCCTACTCAACACCTTCCCCTGCCAGGCCCCTTTTCTCCCCTTCCTCAGTTCTGCCCTCTTCCTTCCTCCCACTGCCTGCTTTTGCACATGTGGGAGAGGGAAAGCCCTTGGAGCCAGCACAGTGGCAGCAGGGGATACTCACCTGGCTCGGTCCGGATGCCACATCCCGCGCAGCGGTAATTCTGCTTGGCCACGGCAATCTTCCTCCTAAGGAAAGGGGAAGGAGTGCAGGTTGGCAGGCAGCAGCAGTGGCCCAAGGCCTCTGGGGAATAACGGACGAGGATATATATAGAACCTATGGCTCTGGTGAAGAATGGGAATTCTTAAGAGATGAACCAAATGAACCTACTGGAAGAATTCATTCAAACTGAGGTTGATCACGTCAGGGGTTAGGTCTAGGCAGTGACTCTCCCTAACAATCTTGTACAAATAGGGAGGAGATACAGTCAACAGGAAACAACATCCATGTATCTTATACAGGGAAGAAAAACCCGTAACCCACACAACCACTGGGAGCAAAGCAGCAAGTGGGGAGTACCAGTGGAAAAAAAGAAAAGAATTTGTATCCACTTAACCCTGGGAAAGAATGGCAGAACTGAGAGTTAGGAACTGAAGCACAAAATGAATAATTCTTTCCCTCTGTCTTTAGATGACCACAGCTGTGTTGGAGTACACTCGGGGGCAGGAGCAAGAGGACGGGAAGATGGCCCTGGCTACTCACGTTGGGGCTGGATGAACATTAAAGATGATCTGAGGCCGGGGCGGGGCCCATTCCAGGTTGCCACGGACACGAATACGCAGCTTGTAGACGTCAGCGTGCTGCCCGTCATCTGGCGAGATGGGCAGTGAGTCGGGGATGGGCAGGAGCTACAGGATGAAAGAACAGCATGAGCTAACAGGAACAGCCTCGGGAATCCTTGGTCTTGACCTTCTGAGCCATGACGCAGTTGTTGGAAGACATTCCAGAAATACCATGGAGTAAGGGCTTCTGGAAGCCAAGGCCCTAGAGACAAACCAGAAGGCACTGGGACATAAGAAGTGAGGGCCTTGTCCTCTAAGAAGCAAAAAGAAATGACCTCCCGGGGGGTGGCATCCACCGGTAATGCTGCCCCTGTACTCAAGCCAGACTCCTTAGGATGCCAGGGTGCTTTCACACCTCACATACTCAACAGCCACATGGAATGAGGACAGTGAGGAAACCATTGTCTTTTGTCACTGCCAAGGAAAACCTGGGCATTCCTTCACTCAACATGTTAACAAACAGCTTCTCTAAGTGAGGAAAGGCATAGGTTCATCCCGACTGGGGGATCACGTGGCACAGGACAGTGAGATCAGAAAGGCTCACCCCCACCTCCTGGGAAGGGACGAAGAGCTGAGGGTACCTACCTTCTGTGGGGCATCATGCTCTGGGACTAGCCACTCCAGCTCCGAGGCAGCCGGAAGCTGCATGCCCTCAAACTGCTTGAGGAGACCCATGGCCACTGCCTCAGCAGATGTGGAGTGCAGAAAGCTGTGGGAGCTGCAAAGGAAAGGAGAGACAGGAGGATGGGTGCTCTCCGCCTGGGCGTGGCACCACATGTGGCAACTCCTCGGCTGGAAGACCACTCAAAGCACCTCCAGTGTGCTCAGCTTCTTTGCTTGTCCTCTCAGATGCATACACACAATGGAAAACATGCTGGTCTTAGGTTAATCAAACCTCAAATTCAAATCCCACTTAGCACTGTACCACTCTGTCACTTCCATCCTTTGAACTCCAGTTCCTTTAATTGCACAATGGAGATTATAATGTCTTGCTTGCAAAATAAAGTGAGTAAGATTGTTCTGTGGATTATAAAAAGGCTACTGTTCCTCCTACATGAACTACTACTTCCCCAAACTGGGTCTCCAATATGTGCAGTTTGATTTCTTAATCAAAACTCATAATGAGTCTGTACTCAGGCCTAGTGGGTAAAGCCACTGCCTGCAGCCTCAGCATCCCATATGGGCACCTATTTCATAGGCTTCTGATCCAACTCCCTGCTAATGCACCTGGGAAAGCAGCAGAGGAGGGCCCAGTGCTTGGGTCCCTACAGCCACAAAGAGACTTGGAAGAAGCTCCTGGCTCCTGATTTCAAACAGGGTTCAGCCCCAGCCACCGCAGCCACTTTGGATGAAAGATCTATTTCTTTCTCTCTCTAACTCTGCCTCTCAAACAAACAAACAAATAGATCTTTTAAAATTAAAAAGAAAAAGGCATGATCAGTGTTCTCTTTTTTGAGTCCTGATCCTCTGGGAACCTTCTGTTACGATCAGAGAAGGAAAGCTTTGCCTCCACAGAGGCTCATCCTGTTTGGATCCCAATTATTCCCTCTTCCCTTGGATTTGTTGTCATCAGGCACGCCATCACTTCAACCTTGCCTCCTCATGAATTTGGATGGCTTCACCCATGGCCTATCCCATCTGCATGCCAAGAACAGGATTTGTTTCTACACACCGCCCGCAGTTTCATGAAAAGAAATACTTACAAGGACTGAGAGGAAGTGAAACCTTTGCCGTTTGAGGCTGTGTTCCTTTTGATGACAGCATCTAAACGGAAGCCAGAGATACGGAGAACAGGAAATGAGTGGGAGGAAGTATGGGATACTGAAAACCATTCAGGGTACTGCCGGCTAACACTCAAGGCAGCAACTTGCTGCTACATCCTAGATAGCAGAGCACCTCAGACACAGTCTATAATTTGTCACATCCAGACTAGATTCATGACTTTGTGCACTGCACTGGGAAGGTCGAAGTGGTTACAGATCCAGATGAGAACACAAGCTCAGATCTGGTATAAACTGGAACGTGAGAACAGGAAGTATCCCAAGGACACAGGGACACAGCCCGGGGAAAAGAAACACAAGATAAATGACTGAAATCTCTACCGCACTCTCCAGGGACAAACGCTTTCTCGCTGTCTCTTCATATGTAAGAATTAGTACCTAACAGGATTTGAGTCACAAGGATGACTCACTCCAAGTGTGTGCAATAAGAACCTTGTTTCTAATATTTCACCATCTTGGTATTATCCATGAACATCATAAGTCATCCATGGGAAGATCTTCTTGCCTGGTGGCAGAGGAGAAAGAGAACTTCCCTGCAGATGCCTGGCAACCAACAAACGTTCATAAAAACCATCAATACGATCTTAACCACCGAATTCTCAGGCAAACTTACAGGAATCTATGGCTGGTCCAAACAAAATTAAATGATAAAAGAATCTGAAAGGGGTTTCTAATGACAGTCTGCCTGAACCCCTGCAGACTTCATTTATCCAAACTCTTTTGGTGGAAGGAAGAAATGCAGCAGTCATGATCCAGAAAGGCAGCCCGAGCCTGTCCAAGCCATGAAAACAACACTGTTCTGATAAATTCCAACTCTCACTTCCTTTGATGTCCCATTGAAAGGCCCTTTTATCTGATGAGGCCTACACGGCAGTCAGTCTACTCTGCCTGAAGCCCTCAAAACTCAAAAGGGCAGGGCGAGTATGAATGACAGTATTTTGAAGTTGGCCATGAATAGTTCAATGGTTACTCATGTGCTTCTACCATATCTAGACTTCTTATGTATGTACAATTAGATTACAAAATCTCCTTGTAAGGAAACGAGATTGTGTCTAATTCTTTTGGCTCTAAAATACCTGTATATACCACAGGGCTCTGCATGCAAGTATATAATCAAATAATACTGTTGATAAACTAATGTCTTCAAAGCTGTATTATGAGGGTGTTTTAGAATGGTCCTAGAAAAGTGTAATGAAAAGGTAAGTTTATTTTGACGCAATTTTTTTAATCCAACTATAGCTTTTTTCATCATACATATTTTTTATGAATTTTAAAATATCCCCTTGTACGTGTATATGATAACAGAACTGAAATCTATCCATCAGTTTTCATATGCCAAGTATAGAAAACTTAATTTTTCCTACTAGTTCACAAAGTTTGCCTTGTTTAACAGCAAAGACATCATGTATATGATATATCCTATTGGAAATTCTGCTGCCAACTCCAGATCTCAATGCATTGCTGACTGTCTATTTCCAATCTAATTAATACTAGTGGAGAAAAGAAACACAGCATGGGCAGTAGTAGATTAGACCTTTATAGACCATGCGGTTTGCAGCATTTATTTGGCTAACACCTAGACCGACTTGGATTACACATAATACTTGTTCTACCCTACTAAGCCTCAGAATGCTGCTCTGTATATAACAAGCTTTCAGAAAATACACCCTAAGTGAATAATTTGCTAAAGGTAAATTTTACCCTGCTTGGGAATAACAAAGAAGAAAAGCGAGAGAAATTTTTCAACAAATAACCCTGAATAAGGAGCTAGCCGCATTCATTACTTTAGGACAAAGCTGTTAAAGAAAGCATTACAGGACTGATGCTGTGGTGTAGTGGGTTAAGTCACCACTTGGGACATTCACATCAGGTATCAGAGGGCTTGTCTGAGTCCCTGCTATTCCACTTCCCAGACAGCTCCCTGTTGATATGCCCGGGGAAGGTAGCAGATGATGACTGAAATGCCTGGACCCCTTCTTGCAGATAACGAGTTGATACACAATACATCTGAGAACCCAAGGCCAATAAATATTCTGTAGCTTCTGACTCAAGAAGAAACTCTTTTTTTAAAAAGAGATTCACAAACAACTGTTTAAAAAAACAGGGAACACACAATTAAAAGGGGCAAAAGGAAAAGCAACTTGTCAGAAAATACAGTTCCTGAAGCTTTTCCTTTTTTCTATAATATGCCAGCTATCAATTTCTTGCCTTTCTGCTCCACACTGGCCCTTCTCTCTGCGGGCTGTGCCATAAAGGGGCCGCTGTACAAGCCTTGTCAGTAGAGGGCGCCGGAGGGATAGTGGAGCAGGAAAGGGTTTCTCCAGGGCCTGGTGTGCTCCTCCAGTCTGACCCCTGAAGGGCCCGTGGTTCTGTTTCCAGACATGTGACCTGGGTGGCTTTGCAGCAGAGTGGCACAGGTGGTACCTCTCATAAATGGCCCCTCTCAGCAGCCTCTGGGAGAGCTTCCTGAGAGTGTTCCACAGTAACTGGCACAGGCCCAGCATCGTTCCATGAACTGCTCTCCCCAGCAGCCCTGAGGACCCAGGGTCTGGCATCTCCCTTGAGGAGGTAGCTCTACCGGGTACTCCAGAGACAGTTCCTCATCAATAGCTGTTGGCATGGCATCTTCCTGTCCACAACTTCAGGGAACTCCTCCCCAGCCAATGCAGCAGAAGGTCTGGGTCTGGGCCTTTACATTTGTTCCTGCCACTGGGGCTCTATCTGAACCCTGGGAATTGTGACTGCTGCCTACTGCACCTGCTCTTCCTTCAGGGTTCACTTTAACCCTCAGAAGCCAGTTTCTCAATGACATTTTTAATCCCTCAGGATAGTTAATTCTTTATATTAAACTTTCCTGTTCAAATTACCATGTGCTTTTTATTACTGATGGGGACCCTGACTAGGTACACACATGCAGAAGATGAAACTCTTGAAGGGTCTACAGAGGAAGTAAAGAAGACCCAAGGAAGCAATAACAGAAGAGGATACAGAGAACGAACAGAACAACAAAACCCCAAAGTCCAAACAGCTGAGAGGCATCTTCGGAACTGGGAGTTTATGAATGATATCAAACCCATGTGACACCATCAGTAGAAACGGATGAAGTAAAAGAAGCCAGAAACTTAAGATCAGATATCACATATTGTACGATTCTATTTAAATGTCCAAAAAAAGGCAAATCTATAGAGACAGAAAACATACAAGAGTGGTTGATGGAAGGGAAGGCAGAAAGGATGAACTCTGAGTTTATGGGATATTATTAGGATGATGAAAAGGTTCGAAAACTAGATTTAAGGTGATAGCTCACAGCTCAGTAAGTTTACCAAAAATCATCAAGTTGATTGTTTTACCACTTATAGTGGGTGAATTTTGGCATATACCACAGTAACGTTTTATAACAGATGCTCATGAATTAATAATCTTTATAAGCTCTCAGAGTTTATATTCAGTTTCTAGCTAGGAGAACAGAACTTTCAAAATGATTTTCTTCATAAGCGCTTTCTGTTCCATATGGTCTACCTGGTGAATCGGAGTCTGGGAAAAGCTGTGACATTCTCACAGTTCTTATCACAGATGAGGTCCACAGCACGATGCTAAAGTATGTGATTTGGTGCTGTGACCTTCCTCTGGTAACAGTCCAAGAGAACAGAGAGCATAAATCTCTGGTCTCTCTCAACCGTGACTTTCAAATAAATAAATAATTATAAAAGGACAAAAGTAACATAGGAGATTATTTCCCAAAGAAAGACCAATGTTAGAATAAATTATAACAGTTCAGGAACAGAGGAAGAGGGACCAAATTATTAACATTTCTTTAAATCTTCATCTCATCTTACATAACTATTTCAGATCCAATAGCTGATAATACTGACCGTTAAAATTACCTATATAGTAAAAAAAAAAAAGTTCTGGGTTTTCTTGTTTGTTTTAAACCACTTGAAGTGGAAAACTGCTTTCTTTCAGTTAATCCCACTTACAGAAAGTCTACCTGCTTGGATCACAAAACAATTACGAAGGCCAAACACAGCAGTAAAGCTTTACAGCAGAAGTCCCTAGAAGAGACAGCTTCAAACCAGAGACATAGAGTGTCACGTGACTCTATGCTAATTAAGCTCTCTGTATAAGTAACAGAAGCTTCACAACAGCTTGGAAATGAAATCCTTCACCTGGTCATTTCTTACAAATAGTCCACTACTTCTAACAGTCACAATGATCACTGAATCTACTGTGTAGGAAATGAATGACAAGAACAAATGCAATGCTGTCAACAGAAACAATATCTGAGAACACTGGCTTCTTGTTGCGTTGTAAATTCTTCCTTTTTTTTTTTTTTTAAACTGGCTTTTCCGACCCTGTGGCCCTTGTAAACTTGACAGGTATGATGCAATCAAGTACAAAAGGTGGCACAAACATACCTGCAACTATGAAGACATTCATGTTTCCAGCTTAGGCCACCTGAGAACATGGAGGCCACAGACATGGACAGCCATTCTTCACATGTGAGATAAATTAGATCCTATGCTACCAACTGTATCATGATGATAAAAAAAGCAACCTGTTTAGTATTACAAACTGATGAGTAAGAGTTCTGTACTACATGTTCCTGATGTCAGGGTTTGATTCTTGCTCCACAAGATAAGAGGCATTTTCAGAACTTAAAATGGCAGCAGGTGTTCACTGTAACATGGAGGTGGTTATTGTTACTCCCCCAAACAACCCTGGACTCATGAACTTCCTAAGGCAATGGTTCTCAACCAGGGATGATTTGAGAGGTGGTGGATACTTATTACTGACATCAAGAGAGAACCATGGGTGCTGCTAAATACCTTACAATGTGCAGGACAGTACTTGACAACAAAGAATCATCTGGCCCAGAGGCTGAGAAGCCCTGCCCTGAAATCTTCTCCTTCAGGGATTTCTGTTCTGAACTGAGTGGAAATTTAGCTGATTAAACAGCTCCTTGGGACCCCACAGCTGCAGCAACAGTCTTGAACATGAGTGCACTTTGCATCTGTTGCTAGCCAGGTTCCCTCCCTTACTGAAGGAAATACAATCTGTGGTCCTCTGCACTGCTCCACTCCAGGTACGGCAGCATATTCGGAAGGTACCTCAGGGAATTCTGACAGCTGACCCTCAGAGGGTAGAACTGTCTTATTTTAACTTGTAGCTCAACTACTGATTGCGAAATAATAAGGAATATATTTGGCCCATGCCCTTAGTTCCTAGAAGAGTACCTAAAACCACTGGCACTTCCTGTGTGACAGCAGTGTCTTTTATTACCAGATGCCTCAATCAGCCACACCTAAGTATATGCTCAGGCACTGGTTGACCACCACAAGAACCAACTACATGATTAGAGGGTTGAAATGTCCACTCCCCTTTCACCTCAAGGGAGGGAAGGAGACTGAAGACTGAATCCAATGGCCAGTGGCCAATGACTTAATCACTACTGCCAACGTAATGGAATTGCTGTCAACAGCGTGGAATACCAAGCTTTGAGGTAGGTGAACATATTGATGGACCAGGATGGTGGCACAACCTGATTCCATGGGGCAGTAATGCTTGTACTCAGACCTTTTTAGAACTATATCTCAGGAATCTCTTGACATGGTTGCTTTTTTATTTCCTTTTAAGTACAGCATTTTGCGAAGGTCAATGAATCATGCCAGTGCACTATCAAACCTGGAGGAGGTAGGTCATGGGCACCCCCAGACCCAAGTGCAGGCAGCCCATGATTCCACTTGAATCTGGCAGCTAAAGTGGGGCACACTCATGGGGCTGAGCCTGTTAACTCCCGGGTCTGTACCAACTCCAGCTAGTTAGTATCAACAGTGAACTGTAGCATACATAGCTGGTATCACAGAGAACTGGAGATCTACTGGAAAATTACCTTTGTATAAAGGAAAAAAAAAAAAAGCCTAAGATAAGACACATTAAGGAGAGCACAGAAAGAAGACTTTGTGGAGGCCTGGAAAATAAGTGTGTTCACCAAATTTCTGAAGGCAAAAGAAACCGGCTACCTAGCTGGAGGTCTGCGTGGCAGAAGGGGTTCTTTAACACTCAAGATTTGCTTACCATCATGTCACAGTGTTAGAAGGAAGAATCAGAGATAGAACTCAGCTCTGTAAGAAAGTAACTCTTTCTCATGGGAAAGAGCTTATGTCCCTGAACTGCTGTTGAATTTGCTTGTTTTACTCATGGGAACCCGAAATCTACAGTTTGCAGGAATGAGACATTAAACTGATTGAACACAAATGCCCATGCAGATTGGTTCTTTCTTTCCTCTGACATTTCCAACAAGGATCTGTGATTCTACAATGCAACTTAGCACTGACAGGGCTGTCCCTTACTTAGGAGTTTAATAACACTCCTTCTGAATATTCTATTTCAGTTGGGTATTCCAACAATACTCTTATTTCAGTTGAATTATGGGAGTACGTAAGTATAGAATTTCTAGGAGGATTTAGAAAACTCAACAGAAATATGCAGCTGAGAAACCAGCATTAAGATAACTTCAATAGCTAACTCATTCCACCTGGAATATCTTCTTGTGGTGCTCTCTCCTGTGCTACTTTTGAAGACTGCTTTTAGTAAGAGCAACGGGGGTGCTGGCATAGTAGCATAGTGGGTAAACCCACTGCCTGTGATGTGGTGTCGCCTCTTGTCCTGGCTACTCTACTTTTGATTCAGCTCCTTGCTCATGGCCTGGCAAAAGGAGCACAAGTGTTTAAGTGTTTGGGTCCCTGCTGCCCACACGGGCAATCAAGATGAAGCTCCTGGCTCTTGGCTTCAGCCTGGCCCCAGTACTGGTTGATGTGGCTATATGTGGAGTGAACCAGTGGGAAGAAGATCTCTCTATCTCTCTTCTCTCTTTATAACCCTTTCAAAACAAATAAATTTCTTAAAAAGTCATGTGGCAGGTAATTGGCACTGGGGTTAAGAATACTGCTTGGGGCATGATAGCTCAACTGGCTAATCCACTTGCAGCATCCCATTTGACCACCAGTTCATACCCCAACTGCTCCACTTTGCATCCAGCTCTCTGCTTATAGCCTGGGAAAGCAGCAGAAGATGGCCTAAAGCCTTAAGATCCTATACCTGTGTGAGAGAACTAGAAGAGGCTCCTGGCTCTTGGCTCCTGACTTTGAGTAGGCTCAGCTCCAGTTATTGCTGGACAGTGAACCTTCTCCCTGATTGGGATGCTTATATCCCATGTCAGAGTGCCCTGGGTTCAAACAACAGCTCTCTTTCCATTTTAGCTTCCTGCTAATGTGTGCCCTGGGATGCAGTAGGTAATGGCTCAAGCACTTGGGTCCCTGCCACCCATAGGAGAGACCTGGATAAGTTCTCAGCTCCTGGCTTTAGTCTGGCTCGGTCCAAGCTGCAACAAGCATTTGAGAGAGAAAACCAACAGATGGGAGATATCTGTTTCTTTTGTGCCTTTCAAGTAACACATAAAAATAAATAAAAAAGAAAGGCAGTCCCTAACAGTAGCCAAAAATATTTTATAATGGAGCATAATGAAGATCTTCTACATAAGCAAAATTTCTTAGCCTGGTATTCCAAATTGTAAGAAACAGGTAATAAAAATGCCTTTGTAATGATGTGCCGCTTCTCACCTTGGATTTCAAAATCGTCAACTTCCTCAGCAGAGCCAGAGTCAGAGAACTGTGCTGAATCACGTGAACTGAACTGGGAGCTGCTGGAGGTGACCCGGAAACCTGCCAAAATCATCATCACCATCATCATAATGAGCAGGACAGATGTTTCCTACTTCTTCCAATGTCACAATAAAAGGAACCTGATATGACCTCAATAGAGAAATAAACAGAACCTTTGCTGGGAGTGGTGCTATGCAAGCAGAACTTAGCTCTTCTGACTGGTTCATCCCTTCAGAAAGTTTCATGTAAATTCAGAGTCTAGCTAAGAGGTAAAGCAGTAGACTGCAGTAAGTTTCACGCAAACAAAAGATGCCATTGTCTGGGAAGCACATCTAGAAACAGTGATCTCAGTTCTCATATCAGAAACCTAGTATCAGCTGTTAGGCACAGCATTAAAATACTGGTCAAGACTCTCACCACATTCAGGGACCAGCAAAGTTGCATACCAAGTTAATCTTCCACCAATGGTGCCAGAATCCCACATGGGCACTAGATAAATTCCCTGCTGCTCCACTTCTGATCCAGTTTCCTGTTAATGGCCTGAAAAGGCAGCGGAAGATGGCCTACAGTACTGGGCCACCCCACCCATGTGGAAGACCTGGAAGTGGCAATCTCCCAGCCATGGATCAGTTCAGCTCTGACTGCTGAAACCATCTGGGGAGCAAATCCGTGGATAGAAGATCTCTCTGCCTCTAGTTCAAGCAAAATAAATAAATCAGAAAAGAAAAGAAAAGAAAAGAAAAGAAAAGAAAAGAAAAGAAAAGAAAAGAAAAGAAAAGAAAAGAGAAGAGAAGAGAAGAGAAGAGAAGAGAAGAGAAGAAGAGAAGAGAAGAGAAGAGAAAAGAGAAAAGAAAAGAAAAGAAAAGAAAAAAGAAAAGAGAAAAGAAAAGAAAAGAAACGATAAAACTGCCACACCCAAACTGGAGCACTTTAGTTTGAGTCCTAGCTGACTTTTTTTTTTTTTAAGATTTAATTATTTGATTGGAAAGGCAAATTTTACAGAGAGAGTTCTTCCATCCATTGGTTCACTCCCCAAATGGCCACAACGGCCTATTAGAAGCCAAGATCTTCTGGGTCTCTTACATGAGTGCCGGGGCCATTTTCTGCTGCTTTCCCAAGCCATACGCGGGGAGCTAGAGAGGAAGTGAATAGCCAGTACCCATACAGAATACAGCACTGCAGGAAGAAGCTTAGTGTACTATTTACAGCACTGCTCCCCAATCCAGCTCACTATTAATTCTAGTTTTCTGCTAATAAACACCGTGGGAGGCAGCAAGTGATGGCTCAAGTAGTTGGGTCCCTGCTACTCACATAAGTAACTCGGACTGTGTTCCTGGTTCTGGACCTATTCAACTCTAGTTGTGGGTATTTGCAGAATGAACCAATGGTTGGGAGCTCTCTTTGTGTTTCTGAAATTAATGAATGGATGAATGAATAAACAAAAATGAATGACTAAAACAATAAATGTAAAGTTTTTGTGTAAATGGAATTAGAAGAGATTTAGACTTTTAGTCTTGGGGTTATCATGCCACAGGAGACTGCATAGCCTCATGGAGTGCCTGGGTTCGAGTCGTAGCCCTGGTTGTGAGTGCAGCTTCCTGCTCAGGCATGCCAGGCAGCAGGTGATGGTCCATACAATTGGGTCCATGTGACCCACATGGGAGACAGGGATAGAATTCCTGGCTCCTGACTTCAGCCTAGTCCAACCCCAGCTATTGCGGGTATCTAGGGAGTGATTCCAGCAGACCAGCAGATGGGAACCCTGTCTCACTATTTCTTCTAATAAGTAAATGTATTGTGTTTTGTTTTCTTTTTTTTTTTTAAGATTTATTTATTTTTTATTGGAAAGACAGATTTAGACAGAGGAGGAGAGACAGAAAGATCTTTCATCCGCTGATGCACTCCCCAAGTGGCCACAATGGCCAGTGCTGTGCTGATCTGAAGCCAGGAGCCAGAAGCTTCTCTTGGGTCTCCCATGTAGGTGCAGGGTCCCAAGCTTTTGGGCCATCCTCTACTGCTTTCCCAGTCTATATGCAGGGAGCTGGATGGGAAGTGGGGATGCCGGGATTAAAAGCAGTACCCATTACGGATCCCAGTGCATGCAAAGCGAGGACTTTAGCTGCCAGGCAACCATACCGGGCCAAGGAAGTGATTTCTGAGGCAGGGAATGGATTAGTGCTCCTAGTCTGGTTTTAAAAAGCAAAGAGAACAGCACAGAAATGCCTGACAGCAGGGAACCCACCCATGTGGTACCCAGCTTTGTCCTGCAAACACAAAGCAGCAAGGACAGCAGTGTTCCCAGGCTCACTCACTCCCATGCTCAGCCTCCTGGTACATGGGGAACAGATTCTTGGTGCGGATCTGCTGGCGCCGGAGGCGGATCTTCTGCTTCAATTCCTGGATCTCTCGGTCACTGTCCTCCTCCTCGACTTGGTCCTCTTCTAGGCACTGGCTCATCATGTTGCACTTCATGAGCTCGATGGCGGCAATCAGGGACTCTGAGATGCTGAAGTGGGCATTCTCCTGGGAGAAGAGGAGCACACAAGGGTTGCCTGGTAAGCAACTACAAAGCACTGAATGCCTCCCAGATTACAACGTTGGAAAGCAGAGCACCCCAGACATGCATAATGGTTACTGAAAACCCCTGGGGGAAATGTACCCTTTTACAATAAGCTAAGTAGACAGCTAGTAAACCTGCTCTTCATATCCTTTTGTTCTCTTGCTTGGCCATGCCTGTCCTCTCCTGTTCCATTTTTCTATACATAAACACGACAGAAGTCAGCCAGGATTTTAACCAGGCTTTCTCAAAAAAAGTTATTCACTTATACATGAAGTATTAAAGTAAATGGGCTATCTCAAAATAAAATTTCTTTAGAAGTTACAAAATGCTACACAGACATGTTTATTACATATCTGAGATCTAGAACAAAATGTAGAAGTCAATTTTGGAAACAGCATTTCCCAAAGGTTCCAGGGCTGAGGGAACAAAAACCACACAGCTAACATTCAATGTTTCTTTGTCCCGGGCTATTTTCTAAGATAAAATCATCACTCAAGCTTTAAACTCCCTGAAGAGCTTCCCAGAAGCAGAACTTGCCTAGCTTATCTTCTCTGGGAACTTATCTTCACCCCGTGTGTGCGTCATTCTGTGCATCTGAAACCTTATTAGACGAAAAAGCGCCACAAACCCTTGGGCGAGATTCTCCCAGTCCATGAGCTCTTCGCTTGCCCCTAGGTTCCTCACCTTTTCCAGGTCTGCACAGCTGCCAAAATCCTGCTCAGACAGGTAGCTGATGAGGGACTGTCCTTCTGAGGGTCTGCGGAACATGCCTTCTCCTGAGCACAGGTACCGTTCACCCTCTGGGGAAAACCGGAAAGTGGGTATAAAACACTTGGACTTGGAATGCAAATCTCAAAGTTTCCAAGCTTCTATAGATACTCCCAAGTCTTCCCTGGCAATAGAGAATTGGAGGTCAGAATGATCTCTGCCATTTATAGTAGAGGTGGGGAATGTCCAGTTCATGGATTGTACAAGGTCATAAAATCATTTAGTCTGGCTTTGCCAAGGCAACTGCCGGTGGGCCTTGAAATTCAATCTACAGAAGGGCTAATCTTTGATAATGTTGTGTGGCCTGCGAATGATGTCATACACGCCCAGACAGCCTTTGGCAGAAGAAAGGTTCCCCACTCCCGCTCTAAGAGAATTTCTTACTTGGAAGCCTAGACTACTCCCACTTGCAAAATGGTGGAAAATGCAGCCAGCCCCAAGATGGTTCTTTTGCTATCTAAATTTAAAGATGATACAATTTCCCTCCCTGGTGCCCTCACTGTTCCCCCCCCCCCCCAAAAAAAACCCCTAAAATATAACTAAAAGAAAATTCTAAAACCCTGTGCTCAGAGTCAGAAAGGAAACAAGGGGTTGGTTTCCTCTTGGGCATGGTTTCCAGGTAGAATTTATCTTCTGACACTCAAAGCCCAGATACTCAAAATCTCTTTTTCAGGTCCTCCCTCAGTCAGCGAGCCATTCCATCCAGACCAATAGACATACATGGAGATAGCACCCACGGTATATGGAGGTGGGTACCTCTGACTTAGGAACAAAAGGAATTGTGTGATTTCTAACATAGAGGGTTCAAGATGTGGGTGGGTGAGACTATACAATGGGTACTAACCACAGAGCTGAGATGAGCCCCAAAGCCCAGACCTAGCAGGCACCAGGCGGAGTACAGAAAACAGAATGTCACCCAGCTTTCCTAGTCCTCACTTACCATACTCCATATAGAGAGAGCTGGGTGTGCTGACTTCACTGCTTTGGCCAGAGTAGGACAAGGCACCTCTCAACTTCAACTTATCATTGCAGGATTCTGGCATCAATGGCCACCAGGGAATAAAAACACACATAAAAAGTGAGAAATACATAGATTCCCAACTTTGGCGTCTCAACATTTAACTACCCAATTCCCAAAACGCTTCCAAACAAGAGAGAGGTGACACACCAACAGGGTACAGCCCAAGAAATACAGGAACACATGGCAGAAAGGAAATGGGAAGTCAGTGTATTCTAAGGGAAAAAAAAAAGAAAACTAGATTTGGAATGTGGCAACACAACGGGAAAAAGGAATCAAATCAGAATGCATTAATGACTTTGGTTCTCTTCCATCTTCTAACCATGTACCATAAGAAGAGTATCTGCCAATCTCCGTCTTCTTGGCAAAACAATTTGGCAAAAGAAAGACATATACACACTGAGATATTTCTGATAGTTTGACACCTGGCAATATTAAAAGACTGACATTAACATTCTTATCAAAATAAAATCAATGTCCTTAAAAGCATTATCATGGCAATGGTGAGCAAGCCAAGGATGCTATGCCCTTGTAACCAAAGAGCTCATTCCTAAGGTATGGACCCTGTCACACTGGGAAAGCAAGAGAGAAATGTCAAGAAAAATCTAGCAAAGCAGGAAGTGCTGGTAATAGAAAGAGTGAAAGTCACAAGTGGAGAAATAGTAGCAGGCAGGGTTCATAGGAAATGATAAACTGACAGTCTTCAAAATGAAACACAAAAGTTGTAGTGCCACAAAAGAACAGCAGGTGGAAAAGCAGTTGGGTGCCGGAGAAATGAACAAGATAACTTGGGAGAATGAAGAACTGAGCTGTATCCAATCCAATTCCCTGACAGATGGACCCATTTTGTCAGCTGTTCCTCTTGCAACAACAAAAAAATGGTGGTGGGGGAGCCACATGGTAAGAGATCATTTTGTGTTCTCCTTGGGCCTTAAAAACTTCTGGTGCTCCTTGTTACTGAATTGAGTATAAATTAGCAGTCACTCTGAGGCTTTGGTAACAAACTACAAATGGCGGTAGCACAATGACATATCAAGCTAATTCTCCATCTGTGCCTACAGATAAAAGTTTGTGTCTTGGCTGCCCTATCTCCAATCCAGCTCCCTGTTTATGGCCTGGGAAAGCAAGGAAGGATGGCTCAAGTCCTTGGAACCCTGCATCCTCTTGGGATACTTGAAGGAGGATCCTGGCTCCTGGCTTCAGATTGGCTCAGCTCTGGCCATTGTAGCCATTTGAGAAGTGAACCAGCAGATAGGAGATCTCTCTCCTTCTCTCTATAAATCTGCCTTTCAAATGAAAATAAATAAATAAATAAAAGTTCTTTAAAAAGGATAAACCATGACTAGAAGGAAATTGGAAATCTCCAAACGTAATGTCCAACACAAACCCCAACCCCACACCCTTACTTCATTACAAGTGGCCACTCAGCCTTTGCTTACTAAGTTCATTACTTCCTTTTGCTGCCCGTTTAATTCTTAGAATTTCCTACACCCCCTTGAAATCTGCCATCATACAATTTATCTCATCACCTTAAGTACAGCAATGTCCTTCTACATGATAGTCCTGCTAACCTGCCAACTTTATTCCTCTTTAACCTCTTTTTCAAACTAACATACCTAGTGGTTTCATCCATCACCAGGAGGCCCTGGTTTTAAGGGCTCTTTGACCACCATTTCATAGATACACCTTAGTGTTAACAGCTTCATGTATGATGGTACCCAGAACGGAACACAAATCTCAAGTTGAACACCACCATGAAAATCAAGGAAACAAAATCACTAGAAAAATCCAGTGTAGCGGTTAGAATGGATATGAAGGCTTGTTGGGGAATGAAAACAGGCGAAAAACAAAAACAAAAACAACAGAACAAAAGAACCTAGGAGAGGCAAACAATAACAACATTATCAGCATCATCATCAACAATGACAACAATAAAAACTCATGCAAGAATATCCACGGCTACAGAGAGAAGATAAAACACATTCTGGTGTTAAGTCAAGGAAAATAAAGTAATCCACAGTAAATATTCAGTTACAAGGAAAATGCTGCCACTGATTTATCACAGTGCCTTAGCAGACTTCAGTTTTACTTTTGGGGAAAACTGAATTTTAAGTCTTGATTCTGCCTCCCAGAGGCTTTTGGGAAAGTAAATGGAAGTTGTGGACAGATAATATACATCATAAAAAATATTGGTGTCATTTTACAGATAGGTCCAAGCACCACAACAGGACCAGGCTAGCTGGACTTGATTTGACACCAGATTAGAAAAGGAGGTTCTAAACAAAGCAAGGTGGTCACAGAGGACAGAGGAACAGGAGGTGCAGAACAGGCTCCCAAACCTGCAATGGGATCTTCAACTATAATGGTGATATTCCTGGGGCCTCCTGTAGGTAAACAGACAGGTGCAGAGGAGAGTACAGACAGAACAAATGGGATTAGAGAGCGAGAGCAACCAAGAATGTCCTTTTCTTTTTTTTACCTGGCAGAAATGGGGACATAATTCCCAGGCGGATATACCAGTGTGGAAGGAGAAATGACTTGACAAGAAGCTACACAACACCTATCCCTCCCCTGACCCTTCTGTATGGGTTTTCTCTGACTCTATTTTTTCCCATGCGTGTTACCATGGTTGCTGGAATTCACAAGTATTTAAGAATGGGAGCAGGGAAGTTTATATGCTCAGAGGCCAGCAACTTCGAGTTTAGTAGATGCCAGACATGGAGCGGGACATGTAAGTTGAGCATTTAGCCCAAGCACTTCTGACATCCAAGAAAGCCTGTGGGAAGAGAAGCTTCCATTTGGCAAGCCTTCTCCTAAGGAGTTCCATGAAGTCAAAGTACATTCTTGAGCGGAAAACAGACAAATCATCACTGGGGGTAGGGGTGGTTCAGATGAGGGTCTTTACTATAAGCTATAAAGAAAAGCCATGGTGGCTCTAAGTGCTAAAGAAAAGACTTTTTGGGGGGTATTATTAGTTATTTTAACATTTTATACATACACATATATTATTCCTGGTGCTGCTGTAACCCTGAGACACTTTGAACACAGAGGTCCACCTTATCCTTGCTGACAAGGAGATTCTACAAGTTAAGCCCAACCAAAGCTTGCCAGATACCAACACCCCAGGAAAAACGCTGGCAGGGAGATGACAACAGCAATGAGATCTACTTCCCGCATTGATAATTTACTTTGTTCTACTAGCTGGTGTATCTGGAAGGATGAGCCCAGGGACCAGGGCCTCTGTTACCTCACTGTCTCTCACCTACATTAGGAATGCAGCAGCCAGCCCCATGAGCTCTATATCCCTAGTTTTAACTGGAGCATCCTAACATTACTCAGCTACCCTTATCTGGGCATCACATTCTGACCAAGCTTCTAAGGAATCACAGTAAAGGGATGAATTTAATGGGATTATTTTGAAAGCTCATTACTACTTTCCCTGAATCTGAGAAACACACTTAAATCTGTGATGAATCACAATACCCTTTAATGTGAAGGAACTAGCCAAAAATTACAAGAAGACATCTAATGTCTAGCAATGGCTAAAGAACAAACACACTCAGAGATATCCTGAGAGTATTGCCTTACAAACATTTCTCTTGTATTATAAAGTGGGATGTCCTGTCATCAGAAACGGAAAACAGAAACTCGAACAGCATAAAGAACAAACTCTGCCTTCATGCTAAAGGGAAGGGACCATCCTGCTACGTGGCCCAGCTGGTGTTCATCAGTACCTGGGGCTCCTCTGGAGGCAATGTTGGTATCTGAATGGGAGCGAGTGTGGCTCTTCTTTGTCCCACTGGTGACAGGCAGTGTCTGTCCCTCTGAGAAGCTGGACCTACGAAGGACACTGGACATCCGGCTTTGCTCACTTCCCTCCTGATCGCCTAAGGAAGAAGCAGCAGAATCGGGCTTCTGGGAGCTACTGGAGGAAAACAAGTTGGAACTGCTGCTCTCATTGTTGCTGCTGTGACTCTGACAGCTGGCAGTCCGGCTATGAGGGTCCTGGTTGCCAATGGCCAGATACTCGGGCCCCTCACTGGCATCATTTGGGAAATTATTCTGGTTGCTGACCCATGATGCTTCTAGGGGGCTGGTCAGAGTGCTGGAGCTCATCTCCTGTGAGGTTATGGGGGAATCCCCAGACAGTGCAGACACTGAAGGCTGAGGTGTTTGGCCGGTTGGGTCCTCTACTGCTGCGACATGCCCCCTGCTTTCTTGAGGTTTCCAGGGAGGGCCAGAGAGTGAAAAGGAAGTAGATCTTCTCTCTAGGATATAAAATGCAAAAGCAAGGGGAGAGAAAAGTAAGTTGGAATCCTATAGTATGTATGAAGAGCTTTTTCACAACCATGGACCAAATGTCCAGTTGTTTACTAGATCCCACCTCAGCTAAGGCAATCAGGGACCAGCATTGCAGTGCATCAGGTTAAACCATTGCTGGCAATGTTGGAGATCCATATATGAGAGCCAGTTCACATTCTTGCCATGCCATTCACACAGGAGAACTCCACGGGGTCCCGATTCCTGGCTTTGTCCTGGCTCAGCCCCAATCAATTCAGCCATTTGGGAAGTGAACCAGGGAATAAGATCTCTGTGTCTCCCTTTTTGTCACTCTTTCAAATAAATAATTTTTTAAAATAGTCAAATAAAATATTAAAAAGCAGCTAACTGAAGGGCACAGGCTCTGAAGGCAGTGTTTTTATTGTTTATCAGTTTGCATTCCTCATCTATAAAAATGAACAATAATAACAAGGCCTACTATGTAGAACTGTTTTAAGGATCATACAAAGGGATTCTCACAGACTCATTCATGTCAGCTATTACTTAGGAGCAGGCATTTGGCCCACTGATTAGGATGGTACTTAGGACATCCCAGATCAGAATACCTGGGTGCAAGTTCCAGCTCCACTGTTGCTCTTGGCTCCCTGCCAGTGCAGACCCTGGGAGGCAGCAGCAATGGCTTATGTGACTGGATCCCTGTCACCCTCATGGGAGACCTGGATCTAGTTCTATACTTCCAGCCTTTGCCCAGCCCAACCCAGTAGCTGGGCCAGCAGTTGGGAGAGCTTTTTATTTCTATATATTAAATAAATTCATATTTAAAATAAAGCAAATGCTGGTTACTATCTTAATCTTTTATTGCAATATGAATTAGAAACCTGGAGAAATCTAAAAATTATCTCTTTCTTCTGCTATTTTAAAGATTTTACTGAATTATCTTAAGCTATTTTACTATATGACATTTTAAGATGTCCTGTTATTAAGATATAAAGTTTAACCAAGTGTACCTATCAAGCCTTAATCTGTCTGGGAACACCCACAAGGTCTTCCTGCTTCCTAAGATGGGGTACATACCTGCATTGTGGCTGGGCATGGACTGGTGGAGGCTTGAAAACGACCCGAAATAGGAATGCTGAGCGTAGCTGGCTGGAGGGGTGCATGTGGACCCAGGCAGAGCTGTCAGACTCTGGCTCTTTGTCACCAGCAGCGGGCTCTCGTGCTTTCTGGCAAACTGAAACAACAACAGCAACAACAAAACATGTCAGAGTCAAGCGTGGAAGTTCTCAAGAGAGGGGTGCTAGGTCCTGCAAAAAATGCTGCTACAGGCAGCCCTTTGGCAGCAGTCCCAGACTATAGCCAGAGCCTACGGAGACAGCACAGCTGCCATCCTCTGCTACTGCATAGCTTTGAAACTCTGGAGTCCAGGCTTAGGTCTATTTGCTTAAAGGAAGAGGGAGGATTTTTAAAAAATATTTATTTTATTTTATTTATTAGAAAAAATAACACAGAGATATAAAGAGCAAGGTCTTCCGTTCACTGGTTCACTCCCCAAGTGGCCACACTGCTGGGGCTAAGCTGATTCAAAGTCAGGAACCAGGAGCTTATTTCAGATCTCCCACTTCGGTACAGGGTCCTAAGGCATGGGGCCATCATTGACTGATAATGGACCTGAGCCTAGACTTTTTACTTTAATTAGTACTCCATGGTACCTCTCTTTCTCCCCAAACATTTCTCAAAATTTGGAAGCCTTTCGGCTCCTAACTGCAAAGTGAAGAGGCAACTTTGTCCAGAGGATTCTGTCAAGGTGAGGTCCAGGAGCCCAGCACAGACATGGGTAATCCCTTGTCCCCTTTACCATAGATGCATCGATCTGAGCCAGCAGGCGGGGGTTGTTCTGTTCCACTGCTTCCAGGCACTGGAGCATGGCTGTGACATGGGCATCACTTAATAGGAAAGCAGTATCTGGGGAGACAAAAGCTACCATGGTGATGGAGCACAACACAGAGGGCTGCAGTGTCCCTGGACGGCCCTGGAAGCAGCTTAGGGAAAGAGTGGGAAAAGGCAAAGAACTGAGAATAATGGTGTCACTGTAGGGCAAACGGGGAATCAAAGACTTATAGGAGAGGATAAGAAAGATATAGTTTACCACCAGCAGACTCTGGGGAATCAAAGACTTACAGGAGAGACTAACTAAGAATGTATAGTTTACCAAAGAGGTCAAGAAAAGAGGTTTCAAAGTTGGAGAGACCAGATTTGAATCCTGCTCTGAACTATTATGGCCAAATTTGTTTCTCTGATCAGAAAACAGGGGTGCTGATACCCAACTTTCAGGGATGTTACGAAGAGTACAGGATAATAGACACTGGCACATAGGAAACTATGGTAGTTATTCCTGCTGGTTTGTGGATATGGGAGTAAAGGAACATCTTAGCATTAAGTTTGATCATGTTTTACATGAGAAATGAGAGGGACGACTGGCTAAGCTTTGAGTAAAATCTTTAGGGCAACAGTGAAAACCAGAGGCCTTAGTCGTTAGAGGAAGTTTACAAAATGAGAAGGAGAAGGATATGCGACAATCCCAAGTGGCCCTCACCTACCTGTGTAGAACTTTTTGATATACTGTCTGTCCCCAAGCAGAGGTCGGAGCTGGGCTGAGAGACAATGAAACTGCAAACTGTGCTGTAGCCACAACTCTGCAATGGCACGCTCGCTCACACCATTGGCACTGCTCTGGCCATTCTCGTACAAGTTGATGAACTGGAAAACAGAGATGTGAATCAAAACATTTCCCTTGGGAAACACAGCAAGATCACAATGACCTGAGAACTAAACCGAGACAGGCAAGGGCTGGCAACCAGAGGTATTTTCCTCTAGCTAGCATCTAATGGATACTGAAAGAATGAAGGACAGGACTAACTACCTTTAGTGCTGGATTGCACCACTGGTTAGAGACTAAGCAGTTAAGACCTGATGCACAGATCCAGGAGAGAACAAAACTGCTATGCCTGGCTCTTTATGGTCTAAGGCCAAGAGATCTCCAAATCAGGGAGAAGGACAAGTGTGACCTCTCAGTTACTCCACAGAAGCCTCTACTTCAGTAAGTCTCCAAAAAAGAAGGCAACAAAACTTGGGGGAAAGGATGTAAGAAAAATGCCACCAACTATTCTCTGAAGTGAAGCAACAGAGTTCTGCCTTCCAGCTGTAGCCACAGTATTCTCTAAGTAAGGACCTCTTCCTAGTGGGCTATTACTAAAAGTCTCACATTCCAAAAGGAATTTGTGGACAGCTATTTTAGGCAGCATCTAAGAGGACAGGACTACAGCAACAAATTAGAGGGAGGCTTAGTGTGGGACAAAAAAGGCAGGTGTCAAGAGGGACAAAGAATATGAGTGGGCCAATACAATACCCTGTGATTTGGTTCGCTCATCATTTAGAAACAAGTTGGTTCTCCTTACATAACCTCAACAATGAACCTGATAGTTGGAGTAAACATGAAAAAGACTGGCCATCTATCAGCAAGTGTTGAATATGGGGGATTTATTTTGCTGATTTTATATGTCTGAAATTTTCCACAATAAAGAGTTAAATACATACATACAACTAAAGGTGACTATTCTGGAACTAGCAATATAATCTTGCCCAAATCACCTAACTTTCTTGAGTACAGTTTCTTTGAAATTTGAAGATACTATGAACTGAAGGAAACAGAAGAGAGTGTTATAACAGTAGACAAAGCAGTTAGGAACATCAGCCTCCAGAAATGTCACTTTCCTTTCTAAAAATTATTCTGTCTTCGTCAATGGTTATCAACACATCAGTCTCACTTCTCTGCAAATTTAGGGAGTCCCCTGCCATTTGTTCCAGGAATCTGAAAAATTTTATCCTTGTACCAGAGGAAAGTGGCCTGGATTAATGGGTTTATAAGGTTTGGGGGCTTGCTTTTCATAAGCAAATGACTTTTCCCCTCCAAGTCAGTGCTACAGGGATACTTGTCCTTAATGAACACATTCCTATCCTTCCAGCCCAGGAACCTCTCCAGACAGAACATCAGACAACGAAGGCTTGTAGCTACATCACTAGCATACCAGATCTTCCACAGCTCTTACCTGCTCTACGTGGAGGGCTGAGTGCGGACTGAGCCACCGGATATCTTTCACAAACTGCCAGTAATCAGTCTGGTGGCAACACACCTGGGGAGGAAACACACAAAGGGAGCAAATCACTACCATTCTGGATCAACTCTACTAGTGCAGACATTCAAAGAAAAAAAAAAGACAGAGAGAGAGAATAACTTCCTTTTCCTTAACAAGGGTTCTCAGCAGTAACCAAAGGAGCATAGACACATGTTTACCCGATAGGGAACATTCAAAAATAAAAAAAGATTTACTTATTTTTTTCCATTTTTTTCTTTATTTTTGACAATCTTTACATAGTTAATTAGGGCACAAACGTTCAAGGGCTACAGGAAAGTGGGTAAGACTATTATTTCCACATTGCTTTTTTCCTGTATCTGGTGTAAAGGGGGAGATAAAGGGAGAAGCCCCACCCAGTCTCCCACCCATCCCAGGTCCCTGATGTGGGGCATGCTCCGAGGGTCTTGTGCAAGCGGTTTTGATAGTTCAACAGGTATGAATTGCTGCCAATCTCGCCATTCCAAGCACAATGAGGTCGCTGCAGAATCTACTGATTGACATAGTTCACCCTAGAGTCTCCGTTTGCCCAGTTTTTCACTGCCAACCCATGGCTGGGGTAGTTGATTTGTTCTGTCCTCTGTTCTCTGTTCTCCGCAATGGCCAGTGTTGCGCCGATCCAAAGCCAGGAGCCAGGTACTTCTTTCCTCTTCTGGGTATCCTACACGGGTGCAGGGTCCCAGTGCTTTGGGCCATCCTCGATTACTTTCCCAGGCCACAAGCAGGGAGTTGGATGGGAAGCAGGGCTGCCAGGATTAGAACCGGCACCCATATGGGATCCCAGCACATTCAAGGCAAGGACCTTAACCACTACACTATCGTGCCGGACCCCCAATCTGGTTCTTACTTTTGGATGTTTCAGCCCAGCCAAGGTTCGTTCACACCCAAACACAGCTCACACATGGCTCGGTAGGGGCAGAGACTTAGCCTAACCCATCCCACATCCATCCAGGTCCTCCAGAGCACCTGAGGTGCTGGAGTCTAGTCTGCTTGGTGCATCCAGTCCTAGTCCACACTTGTGCCAAGAGAGACTAGAGCCATATCCAGATCAGAACACAGCCTCCACTCCAACCCCTGCACTCCTTGGTGGAAACCCCAACCCTGCTAGGTTGTCCCCTTAGCTTCCCAACCAGGCCTGTTCACAGCTATAGATTGCACGCATGCCAGTGGTTGCTCTGACTCAGATTGGCATAGCCCCTCACCTGTCTTGTCCTTTGCCTTAGGTGCTGTGGCCTAGGGTCCCTGACTTATGCAGACCAGTAGGTATAAGAGCCTAGCTCGGAGGGCCGAGTGTGTGCTGGGCAGAATCAGGCTGGACTGCAATACCCATTATTTCCATTGGAGGACAGGGCTGGAAACAGAACCAACCCAGCAATTGTAACCACCAGTTGATTGGGGCGATAGACTGGACCAGGCCCTGTATTTGAAAATACACACAAGAATTGGTCTGGGAATACCTCAGACAAAGATTCTTTGGGGATCTCCCCAATTGAACTGCTGGACATAGAACCCACTGTCTGCTATGGAGTGCAAGTGCCAGAGCCGAGCCTCCTCAGAGGATCAGATGGAGCAGTGGAGAGTAAAATCAGGTGCACATGGAGGATATGGCAGTCCATTGAAACCTGCAGAGGATACCTGGCACCACAACAGAGAACAGAGGACAGAATAAATCAACTACCTCAGCCATGGGTTGGCAGTGAAAAACTGGGCAAACGGAGACTCTAGGGTGAACTATGTCAATCAGTAGATTCTGCAGCGACCTCATTGTGCTTGGAATGGCGAGGTTGGCAGCAATTCATACCTGTTGAACTATCAAAACCGCTTGCACAAGACCCTCGGAGCATGCCCCACATCAGGGACCTGGGATGGGTGGGAGACTGGGTGGGGCTTCTCCCTTTATCTCCCCCTTTACACCAGATACAGGAAAAAAAGCAATGTGGAAATAATAGTCTTACCCACTTTCCTGTAGCCCTTGAACGTTTGTGCCCTAATTAACTATGTAAAGATTGTCAAAAACAAAACAAAAACAAACAACAAAAAAAACAGCCTAGCTTGGCATGACCTGTGTTCCATCCTGATTTCTATTTTTGCTTGTAAGCTAAGGTTTGCTCAGCCTTGCGCAGTCCATCCCATTCCATTACCAACCCACACATTAGCCAGCCAGTGGAGCTACTCTGCCCAGCTATTCTGACCCCCAGGTCTGGACCATGTCTTCACCAGTGGGAGCTATGAACCATTACGGGAGTTTCCCAAGTTCCTCCACTTGACCCACTTTCAGACCAAGTTCTCATACATGCCAGTGGGTGTTACGGTAGTGTCCAGCATAGTCTGGCCTTCCATTTGGCCTTGTATGAGCTGGTGCATGCTACAGTCAGGCCCACCCCACACCCTATTTAGGATGCGCATTTGGGTGCTGTTACCTTGACCAGTCCAGACTGCTGTCGATTCCTTTACCCATGAGTGATGGCAGGCTCCTTCGTCACACCTAACTTAGTCCATTACCACCCCAACTTTTGAGCTAATCATTGGGACTAGTATTTCCACAGGGTTTGGCCCATACATCTACCACAGAATAAATCCCAGCAAATGGTTCTCTCGTATGCTAGTTAATATCATGGTCCTGCCTAACGTGACCCGTCTCCTGATCCATCATTGTGTCAGGTACTAGGATATGGTCCTGCTACACAAGGCCCCAGCCTTACTTTTACATGGACTGGTGTATGGCGGTCAGCATTGTTCAATGATAACAAGTTCTATACAGGACTCAAAGGAGGCTGGTATATTAGTTTGATCCATAAAGATCATCTGGTCCCTCTCCTTCAAACTACCAGGTCTCAGTATCCTTGCTCATCTTCAAAGGAAAAGTTACTCTGTCACTGGAACTTCTCAGCATTGATTCGCAATCCAGAAGCACAGTGGGATCAACATGGAGGTACCTAAGCAGCAATTCATAGCCTCAAAATCCCAGAGCTCGCTGCAAGGAAGCAACAGGCAGAGCCTGGACCAAATGGCGCACTGGCCGCCCAGAAACAGCTCACTGCATGTTCATGGTGGCTGGAATCTGAGCTCTGAGCATGGAGACTAATTTGGCCTGGAATTTGCCAGCAGCCAACAGGCTGCTGGAAGTTTTACCACCCAGACCCCATGGTCGCCCCTTCCCAATCCTACCCACTGCATGATGTTGGCAGCGGGTGGAGCCTGCCCTATTCTCCAGATTTCCCCTCTCAGTCTACTCACCAGGAAGGCAGCAGCCTCTGCAGCTTGGGCAGGCCTGGGGACAACTCACTGCTTGTTCCCAGTGGCTGGAATCAGGGCTCCGAGCATGGAGACTAACCTGTCCTGGAATTTGCCAGCAGCCAATAGGCTGCTGGAAGTTTTACCACCCAGACCCCAGGGTCACCCCCTCCCAATCCCATCCAATGTGTGATGTTGACGGTGGGTGGGGCCCAAGTCCATCCTGTTCACTGGATTTCCCCTCTCAGTCTACTCACCAGGAAGGCAGCAGCCTCTGCAGCTTGGGCAGGCCTGGGGACAGACAGCTCACCGTATGTTCACAGTGGCTGGAATCAGGGCTCTGAGCATGGAGACGAACCTGTCCTAGAATTTGCCAGCAGCCAACAGACTGCTGGAAGTTTTACCACCCAGACCCCAAGGTCGCCCCCTCCCAATCCCATCCACTGCGGAATGTTGGCAGCAGGTGGGGCCCGGGCCCGCCCTATTCTTCAGATTTCCCCCCACAGTCTACTCACCAGGAAGGGAGCAGCCTCTGTAGCTTGGGCAGGCCTGGGGACAGACAGCTCACCGTATGTTCACAGTGGCTGGAATCAGGGCTCTGAGCATGGAGACAAAGCTGGCCTGAAACCTGCCAGCAGCCAATAGGCTGCTCAGAACTATTTATTTTTATTTGAAAGGCAGTTACATGGAGGAGAAAGAGAGAATCTTCCATTTGCTGGTTCACTCCCCGGATGGTTACAAAGGCCAGAGCTGAGCCCATCTGAAGTGAGGCACTTCTTCTGGGTCTCTTGTGGGTACATAGGCCCCAAGGACTTCAGCCATCATCCTCTGCTTTTTCAGGCCATAAACAAGGAGCTGGATCAGAGCTGGATCTAAAACTTAAACCAGCACCCATATGAGATGCTGGCACCACAGGCTGAAAATTAACTTGCTATTCTACTGCATAGCAAGAATATTCTTTGGCCCTGAAAATATCCATTTATTTTATTTTATTTTTTATTTTTGATGTTTCCATAGTTGATTAGGGGGATTATCGCTGAGGATTAGGGGAAGTGGGTGAGACTACTTCTAATTTTTCTTTTCTTCTTTCCATATCTGGGAGAAGGGGGGGGGAGATAATGGGAGAAACTACACCCTAACTCCCAACCATATTAGAAGCTGGGGATGGGGAACAGCCACCCAATGTCATCCCAGGGTCCCTGGGGTAGAGCATGCTCCAAGGGTTTTGCTCAAATGGTTCGGTAGTTCTGAAATGCTGTCAATCTTGCCATCTGTGGATGAGGAAACCCTTCCAAGGTCCATTGGCTCACAGTCTACCTGAGAGTGTTTATTCACCCAGATATTTGCTGTCAGAGTTTGGCTGGGATAGTTGACCAATTTGTTCCGTCTCCTTACTCTGCTATTGTGCCAAATATCCTCTGCAGGTCCCAATGGACTGGCAAATCCTCTATGTGCATCTAAATATGCAGCCCACTGATCTGTCTAAGCCACTGAGGAAGCCCAGTTCTGACACATGCACTCCATGATCGACCACACAGATCCTGTGATTCTCCCCATGGTTGAAGTTCTGAGTCCAACAGTTCAGCTGGAGGAATTTCCAAAAAAATTTTGTCTGAAGTGACTCCAGGCCTGATCCTTGTGTGTGCTTGTCAGTAAAAGGTCCAGCTCAGTCCGTCACCCACATCAGCCTACATACCCACTGGCAGTTGCACTTGCTGGGTTGGTTCTGTCTCCAGTCCCATCTCTTACATAAACCAATGGATGAT